GTGTAGTTTAGTTTCCAAGCCATAAGAGTCTCACTCTCTTATTCTCTCTCCTGTCCCTATAGGGAAGGCAGAGGGGGGTTAGTAGAGAGCATCTGTCATTCGTTTAATTGCAGCTCCAGCATTAAACCGTGACAGCCTGCAGGGCAATAGGAAGCTGATGAGATGAGAACATCTCAATTTAAGCCATTTCTATAACAACATGCAGAGCACATTGCTTGTGTGGGCTCCATCTTCACCTTTTCTGCAGAGTTCTTAATTTTTGTTCTCTCATTTCCCTGCTTGTCTGTTGTGTGCACACTGACACATGTCTTAATTCTGTCAACACTTTTCACATGCTTCTAGCTTTAGGTGGGCCAGCAGAAATAATCATCACTGTAATCTTATTTCTATAGTATCATCTAAATTTGTGTTTGTTCAAGTAGGGAAACTAGGTTAAGTAATTCTGCTGACCACAGCTTTGTTAATGCATTCCGAATGGGCAAACACATGAGATAAAGTTTTGAGTTTGTTCAACAAAGAAAAAAACAGCACATATTCCTCCTGATACTGAGTAGGTAGCCAGTGCAAATGTATAAGTAGCTGACTTATTTTACTGCAAAACTGACCTTTTTCTTTAGTCGTTTCCTGACCTTCGGATGTCATTCTCTGGAGTTGCACTTCACTGGAATAAAAAGTGTGCTCTCAGTTGCAGCCCAACCCAGTTCACGTAGGCAGTACCCAAAAAGGAGATGAGGGTTTTCATAGGGACTGATTTCTAGGTATCCTTTGATGTTGTTATATCTCTGTCCGCATTGTGGCTTTATCTTCTCTTCCTGTTACATTTGCTTCCTTAAGTTAGTAGCAAGGACTTTCTGGCTGGACGTATTGTTCTTCTTGGTATTTTGGGCTTTCAGATTATCCCTGTAGCTTTAGGGACTGGGAAGGGAGTGGCCCAAGAATTCAGTTGGTGCAGTCTGCCACAAGGTAGGAGAATCCTTCCCCCCTTACTTAAATAGTAGCAGCTTAGATCACTCCAACATAGTCAGCTACACGTAAGAGAAGGTTATTGGCACAGTGAGTAAACAGACTAGTGTGGGATAGGAAAAAAATGTGTAGATAGCCTCTTGAAAATCCTAAATGGGATTGGGGAATGGTGACACACTAGAAAAGCTATGAGTGTTTGTTCCCATAGAAACCCAGTGTTTGAAAGGTCAGAGAGATCTTAATTGTCAAGTTTCAGTTCTGAATTCTCATCAATCAATTCTCATAATCTGATTAAGCTCTTGTTTTTTTTAAGGAGTGTCAGAAGGGCACAGCCTCCTAATCAATGCTGGAAACATCACTGCAAACACTTTACCTGGAAGAAGAGAGAATACATTTATCCACTGGTTTAGTATTCATATTGATTGTAGGACTAAAAAAGGGCAAATGCAGCACTTTCTCATTTAACCATCTTGTATCTGCTAATAAACAGAAACACCAGCGCTCAGGCAAAAGCAGATGTTGCTGCTCTTCAGGCAAATAATGCCTTATAATTTATATAAGGGCTTTATCATGATGCAATTTACAGTAATTACTGATAACTGCAACAACACAAGGACAAATATTAAGTGATAGGTTTTAATAGAAGTCATTAAATTACAAAAAAACCCCAACATGGTTAATACCCAGTTATTTTTGTTGCCTGTTTTGCGTTTACCCCAGCTGGCAGCTCAGCCCCACACTCCCCTCATCCTCAGTGGGATGGAGAGAGAATTGGAAGAAAACTTGTGGATTGAGATAAGGACAGTTTAATAGGTAAAGCAAAAGCTGTGTGCACAAAGTAAAATAAGGAATTTATTTCCATCAGCAGGCAGATGTTTAGCTATCCCCAAGAAAGCAGGGCTTTGTCACAGGTAGCAGTTACTTGGGAATACAAATGCTGTAAGTCCAAATGTCCCCCCTTTCTTCTTTTTGCCCCAGCTTTTATTGCTGAGCACAACATCATACGGTTTGGGGTATCCCTTTGGTCAGATGGACTCAGCTGTCCTGGCTGTGTTCTCTCTTAAACTCTTGTGCACCTCCTGCCTGCCTACTTGAGGGGGAGTAGTGCGAGAAACAAAAGGTCTTGATGCTGTGTAAGCAGTGTTCAGTAATAACTGAGACATCTCTGTGTTATCAACAAATGCTGCTTTGGTCGCAAATCCAGAACACAGCACCACACCAGCTGCTGTGAAGAAAATTAACTCCATCCCAGCTAAAAACACTGCACCTGTTTGTGCATTGTCAGGCTAAATAATTTATCCAATAAATTCTGATTAAACAATTGTGGAGATTTTGTCTGTACTATTGTCTGCAATAATTAAGTGCAGTATAATTGTGAAAGTACATTTCAGACTACATTGATGCTTGTATTCAAACTGATACGGTTGATTCCTCGACTTGGTGGCTTGTTCTTTTGAGCACAACAAAAACAGTGAAAAGTTCCTCTTAGATGTTACTACACATTGACATTTACTTCATTTACTTTGCTCCTGGTTATGTTAGAGCTCTTCTGACCCACATGGGGCACTGCTACACAGCTTTTGGGGCTGTTTGTCCCATGACTCACATCTAGCCAAGACTGTTTGGGTGTTTCCAAAGTCTTTAGTTTCACAACCTAGCAGTGAGGCTGGGAATCTGACAGTGAGTTGAAACCTTCCAGAAAATCCAGAGCAAAGATGAGGGAGATGGTAGATGGTTTCTGCAGGTGAGCTGCTAACATCTGGGAGTAAGGGGAGAAAGGAGAAAAACGGAGTGGGAGAATAGCAAGGGAAGGCTGTGTGACTGTTTCTCTCCCCTCATAATTTTTAAAAGAAACTTTGATTAACAGTGAAAAGTAATCAGAATACTTGTTTTGACTGTGGGATGTTGCCTTAGTGCACCAAAGATTATTTCATTGTGAAAAATAGAACATTGCTAGCTGGCTGGTAGGAAAACAGTTCTTCACCAAAGTTCAGTTTTCAGGCAGTGTATATTTAGAAGTCCAGAGTGGCAAATCGGGCAGATTCCTTCCAGTTAACTGATGGAGATGTTTCCTAAATGATAATAAAGTTGGTTAGTTGCACTCAATTTTTTTTAATATACCTATGTCTTGGGTGTGTTTTTAAGTACTGCTTATTGGAGTGTGGATGTGTTACTTACAAAGGGTCCCTGAAGCCTGGATTTATACCTATGTATTGTTATGACTTGTGTAACAAAAGCCTGGAAGATATTTTCAGGGTTTTATTTTGTTTGGTTTTTTTTAATAAGAATGAGGAGCTAAGTGCCAAATCTGTCTGCTTTTGCTTAAGGTTTATTGGAACAGAGATATGGTAGCTGTCATGGAAGCATTAATATCCAAAGTCTTTTTTTCAAAGTAGAACAAGAATCCTACAGCTTGTAGGATGCTTGCTTTCAGCAACTGCTTGTACCTACTTCCTTCAAATAATGGGAAGCTTACTAATTGATGTGATATTTTACCTCCACTAGGACTTCTTTAGAGGCAGGATGTAGTTCTGTCCTTTTACAAGCCAACAAAAGACAGCAGAGCTGTGAAAGAGGTTGGCCACCTTCTCCCTCAGTGCTGGTGGTTTGTTCCCAGATGCTCTCATACAAGCTGGACCAGAGGTGCAGAAGGGGAGACGACTGGAGTCACAGCTGACCTCCCTTCCTCCCCTTGGGTCAGTCTCAGGCTGTAGCCAGCTGCCCACATGGTCACACAGGTGCATGTACCAGCACAGGGCAGGCCACAGTGCTGAGGTGTAAATGGAGGGAGGTTTAGGGCTCTGCCTCTGGCAGCAGTGCTGTCTAGTGCCAACTTAGTGTCTGTGAAACTTCAGCTTTCCATGCCATGCTGGAAGGCATGTTCACTACTGAAAAGGCACAGCTGACTTTTTCAAGCACCTATCGCTGAAAATGTAAATACAACCTTGGATAGCTATGGCAACACCACGTTAATAAGCTGGGTCACCTTGAGTTGACCTTAAGTTGCAGAGAGGTTAAAAGCCCTGTTGCCTTGCCTTCTCCATTGGAATGAGTTCTGTTGTGGCAACAGTGTGACAGTAATACCCACCTTTATATGTCAAGACAAAGGAAAGGAGTGGGAAGAAACTTAACCCTCACCTTGAGTTACTAAGTCTTTGAAAAACTCAGACTTCTTTATGGCTAGGATTTTGCATCACATTAACCAAGGAAGCTTACATTCTTTTTTTCCTGATAACCATGGGATCTTCCAGTGTAAATAAAACATTTCTGGTTGCCTCTTTATGTCAGGAAAGAGTTTAACTCTGATTATTTATTTTTTTTTCCTCATGGGTTGCCTCTCAAATATGTTTCTAGGAAGTAGAATCACCATATCCTACATACAAGCCTGGCACTCACTAAATGTTGTCTTTTCCCTGCTTCTTATGAGGCATCAGGCAAATGACCAACCCTAACTGATGAAGTCTTTCTGTTCTGGCAATACAGGACCATCTGTCACTGTGTGCTCCTAGTCATTGACCCAATTTAGGTTTTCAGGCTGTCATTGCATAATGGTTTTTAACCCACATATAAGATGAAGGGGATGCCCTGCTGTAGGCAGTAGTAACCCAAGCTTAGACCTTGCAAGTGTTACCAGCAGGATCAGTCCTGGGTGGCAGTAACTTAAAGCAAAAGTGTTTAAAAACTATACCCATCTACTTCAAGCTGTCTTTCATGTCACACTGCTGTTTCCACAGTCCTGGATATTGGAAGGTTTTTATTATCATCATCTTTCATTTTTGCCTCTCCAATTTCTTGCTTTTATTGCAACTACTCTTGTCACATACACGGTTCAGGTGTGCACAGGTTGCATGCCTGGTGTCCTTTGGTTTTCTGATTATCAGCTTTGTGCAATGTTTCCCAATGGTTAATTCTTCCCATTCATATGTGTTGCTATTACTGAATTGTTTTCTTCCTGCCCCCAAGCAAAAGCAAGTTACTCTCAGTCTAGTTTCTGTTCAAATAATAATATGCTTGTTTTTTTCCCCCCACAGGACTTAAACTGCCTTGTAAGAAATAGTAAGTAATCCTTTCCTTCATTGTGGTTTTCTCATCAGATCATGCTTTTTTGTTTGGTTGTGTTTTTAATTAGGTTCATCCAGCAAGTTCTTCCTTTTAGAATTAGAGAGATGTGAATTGAAGTATTGCAATCATGCCTTGCTTTGAGAGTTTTTGGTCTAATCCATAATCAGGTCCAGCTAAAAGAGGAATGGGAAGTTTAGTCTTTTTCTGGATAGAGTTTGGGGGTTGGGTGGGTGGAACACAACCCAACTTACTTAGTTTCTGTTTAAAGCTGGGATGGTCAGTTTTTAAATAAATGGGAATTTTAGGACCAATTTGTCAGTAAATATTCATTATAAGCAATTATATGTATGGTAGGTCTTTTCTAACCTAAATTATTCTATTAATTGGAAAAGGAAATTAGTTACTGTAAGTCCCACTGAACAAATATATTGGACATATCAGGCGTAAGGGGTCAAGTCTTAATGGTAAACAACTGAAACACTTTATAAATATGGGTAATGTGTTAAAAAAAGGAGAACGTCCCACATTTGTCCATTTGTTACGTGGAGGCATCTGGAAAGTGCTGCAGAACTCCTTGGCCTTTCTTTGCAGTCATTCTAAGCAGGCTCATTTCTGCCTCAGTGCCCAACCCTGTACCGTAACGGCACAAGTATTTTTGTAAACATGATAGGCATGCCAGATCAGCGAGAAGATTATGCTGAAAATAACCAGATTTAAAACGTTTTTGGCAGGAAAGGGATTGGGTGGGATTGGACTGAATCATGTTTCTTACTGGCAGGCAGCATTGGAATACAGCCAACATGGCTAAGCCAACCTGCAGCTCCACCATTAAAATGCTGCCTTATTTAAATTGTGCCATATGGTTCTTGCTTTTCTGCTCTAGGGGAAGGAATTTCTTTTAATGCTTAGTACACTCTTTTCTGAAAGGTACTTTAATGTTACCATGTTTTCTATAAATATTTTTTGGTATAATCAGCATTTTAGGATTGTCTTAATTACTTCTTAAGCCTAAAACCTTGCTGTCACATCAAGGGATGGTGCCTGCTTCCCACTCTTGCTTTCACTGACCTAGCAAAAAAGACCAAAACTATATTTTGATGGGGAGCTTACTGTGCACTGTGTAATGGCAAACTGCTGGGGGAAGGTGCTGCTCCCTCCAGTGTCACTGTTAGCAGCTGGCTGCACGCTCCCACTGCTTCCCTGGGACGGTGTTGATGGTGGTGGGCCTGCAGGCTGAGCTGTTTCCTTGAGCTCAGCCTGACAGAGTAGCCCACCAAGGAAATGGGGAAATCTTTGTTTGGCAGATCCTTCTTATGAACCAAATCATCCATGTCCCATGATCTTTTGAATTCCTGTAAGGCAGTAAGTGGACAATGCAGCCGAGAGCACAACTTTTCATAGAATCATTTAGGTTTTGTTAGCAGCATGGATTTATACCATCTGAAACTGGCAGCAAAACATGGTTTGCTTTTGAGGAGTCCAGTCTACAGATTAATTCTCTTGCTCTTCATTGTTCTCTTTTCAGTATTACAGTGGTTTAGTGTGGGTGGAACAAGTAACTATAAGAATACCATGCCAATCTCTCCAATCTGTATAATCATTTTATCTCTTTTTCCTTCTTTTTGATATATTCAGTGATCACACTAGCTGGTTCATATGATTGATAGATTGCATGGCACAACTCATGTTCAGTAATTTTTCTGCTAGTTTTTCAGCAGTTCTGTCATAAATACTGCTACGAATTCTCATTGTGTATAAATATGGCCTATACCACATGTGCTTAGTATTATATACAGTGTGTCAAGATGTGTTTTGTCTGAATGGGTCCAGTATACAAAGTGACTCATATTTTTATTGACTGCCTTCCCTACCCCCTAGTCTGACAGTTGTCATATGCTCTATCATCAGCTATTTTATATTTACTTCTAGATAGTTGACTTTTTTTTTAGGTAAATGCATAGCATTGGGCCTACACTCACCCCCACAGAGCTATTTAAAACATTCAAACAGTAATGGTTTCCCAATTGCAACTCCTTCTTGATTTGTCAGCCTAGTTCTTCCTGTGTTTGTGCTTCACTGATATTCAGCAGAGCTATTTTTAATATGCTCTGATAAGTCAAATGTCTTACAGAAGTCTAAGCTGATCATGTCTGTCTAATGGCTGTCATACCTGATTTCATTTTCTGATGAGATTACAGGATCAGTTTTCCCTAACACTGAATTGACTATCAGAAATAATTTTTCTGTCCAGAGAGTTCATTAGTTTAGGAAGGGCGTGAGAATCAGTTATTGGAAGCTAAATTTAGATGTATATTCAAATGAGAAGGCAGTTTTTGAGCAGAAGGTAATTAACTATTGGAACAATTTCCCTAGGTATCTGGCAGACGTCTTATCATTGGAAGGCTGAAAATTAGTATTGGTCTTTGAACATAGGTCTGTTTTGGCAGCAAGGTATGGACTTGCAAGAGTAAACTTACTTGACCTGTTTAACCTGACTACATTGACTGTGATAATTACTAATGGTTTTTAAAGAAAAGAGAAAGTGTAAACTACTAGAATGAGTGAGTCCAGAATATTACAGGCAAATTCTGAAGTACTGCAGGCTGAAAACTACCTTCTGTGCTGTGAAGCAGTTTGTCATCCAGTTCTGCCCTCTGGGTAACCCTGATCCAAAGGGCAGACCGTGATTGCAGTTAAGCAGGGTTTCCTCGGTCCTGCTCTAAGTGGCAGCTTTTATTTTCTGGACAGGTACCTGCATGGAGGTGAGTTGGCTGCAGGTTTCCACGTGGACTCCTTCTGCTCCAAGCAGTCTTCATGTCTCTTCAGACGTTTTTTATCAGATGGATGGAAGCCTGCTCCCTGTGCTTCGGATAGAGTGGAAAGTGGCCACTGATGGTAAGTGGTTGTTAAAGTGAACATGGAGCAGAGGAATTAGGTGTGATCTACTCAGGACAGCGAGCAGAATTATGACTTGAAGTATTTGCTGATCTAGTCATGAAAGCAGAGCTTTGAAATTTGAGGGTTTGGCTGCTTCATTTTGTTTGTTTTGGAGGTTAATTTTGGTTTTTCTTGGTGATTGAATCAGGGCTTTGTGTGTGCTGTGTATTCAAGGATTTCAAATGTTTCCGCTAGTAGGGGATATTGACATTTAAAATGAGAAAAGCAGATAAAAATTAAATTAAGTGAAGCACGTCTTTACCAAGGTAGCGAAGGCAGAAAGGAGGCTCAGGCTGCAAGCATTGCTTTTTCAAGGCAGACTAACAGCTGCAGTAGTCTCGTGCAGAAGGATTACATCTGTGAACTGAACAAGTGAGAACTTGAATAACTTATGCACTGTTCATCCAGTGCAAGTTCCTCCCATTTCAGGTAATCTAGTCCTTGTTACTTACGCTTCCTATATGCAGATGTGTCTTGATAAAGGAGTTATTGTCTCATTGTTGGAGCCTAAATGAGTACCAGTAAGTTAGGTTTTCTCACTCTCCGAAACTCTTTGGTGGTTTTGTTTGTATACAGTGTTTCCTTTGCATGCTCTTGGCCAGTGATTTTGCACTGATTCAAGAAAATGAAACACATTCATTTCTTTCTTCTGCATGGCCTGTATCAGAGGGCTGTACAGAGCTGTTATCTCAGTATAGCTGCAGTAGTGTAGAAGCAGGTGTTCCTCGGGCCACCCAGTCATTTTTTGTAGCTACAGTTATAAACTTTCTCACTTGGGATTGTCTGTACCACAAAAAAAAAAAGTGTTTGTTTTAGTGCCCAAACTGCATGAAGCAGCTTTAAGAGGCAGAGCTAAACACAACACTGGATCTGTGGAACTGCCAGGGTGCCTGGAAGAGTGAAGGGGCCTTCTACTCTGCCCCTTCGTTTGCCCAGATGGAGCTCTTGCCATGCGGGACAACGTTTAAGCTGAAAGTGCTGTTAGCCAACCCTACACACTCACTTTTTTTTTCATGGCCAGTTATCTTTGTGTTGCAATCCCCAGTGCATCAAAGGAGTAAGGCTCTGACAAGACTAGGCACAGTGGTGATCTCTGTGGGGGCTGCAACCTCTGCCCATGCAGATGACTGGAAAAGACCTCTCTCTCTCCCTGTGCCTGCAGCCAGCATCCGGTATTTGCGAGGGGCAGAGCTGGCTGTGATGCAAGTGAACAGCAATCAACAGATCTGCGCCCAGTTTGACTTTCAGAACAATTTGCCTCTTCAGGTCCGTCCAGATGGAGGCCGGGTGAGTGCAAAGGACTCTAAGCTATTAATTTTTTTCTAGTCTGTGGATTTGTTTCTGCTTTCACAGTCACACAGCTAGCTTGTAGATTTAAAAGTACAGACTGGTTAGAAGAGTTGATGAAACAAGGTATTGGGCTTGAGACCTGCTGCCATTTCTAGTGTGTTTTGCCATGGACTGAAGAGAAGGGAAGAAGCAGGAAGGAAGTTGTCTTCTGTGATCTCTGACCTTCCTCTGAGCTTATGTAGATATATGTAATGGAATATCTCTGGCCAGTTTTGCTGTCTGTCTAATCCAGCCTCCTACAGGGGGTCACAGATCTCCTAGTAGTGCCTAAGCCAGCAGAGCAAAGACATGACCTTAGAGTCCCAGCAATAGCATAAACATTTCAGTGTTTGTTATTAGTCCAAGCTGGAACACATTGCTATTAGTTAAAAGAGAGCCTACTGAAGGAAAAAAAAAAAAAATAAGGAAAAGTGGCTTCATCCTGGCTCAAATCAGGACAACACTCAGTCTAGGAAACCTCTCAAAAAAAATGCTGAGCATCCACAGCTCCCTTTATGAACAATAGGAATCTGGAGTTTGTTCCTTACTGTGCAGAATTTGGCCAATAGTGGGTCCCCATCTGGAGCTAGTGCCTCTCCCAGAATTTGGACAGCATTGCTGATATGTTGAAAGCAGTATAGAATTAATAAGATACGTATGGAATGGTCAGGTACAGAACTATGTATGTTTAAGTGCAATTCTAAGTGCTTAGCATTTGCACAGCACTGCAAGATTCATACTAGACTAGACTTTCACTCTCAAAACTGCATATTTCAGCCTTATTTCTTTTCAGTTTAGAATGTAACTAAATTGAAAGTTCACACAGTTGTTTGACATGAGACTGTTGTATTGGCTCAGAGATCCCAAGAAATAACTGTACTTTTCTCATTGCAAACAGAAGAATTTGAGATAGACCAAGGGACTGATATATTTAATATACCTGAGTCCTGTTTTTTTCTATAGACAAGCTTCAGAAAAAGGGTCATATGGGATGAGGGAACACAGTGGATCAAGACCAAGTTAGCTGTTAATTTCAGAGCCTTTATAGGACAACGTTCTTATTTTAAGTCCTTGTGAATGTGTTTTCTTTTCAGTGGAATTTCACTTTTGACCGTTTTGAAGTGGAACCTGGTCAGACTTACCAAGTGACTGTCTACCACCTGCCCAAACTGAGTGTAGCTGGAGACTACAATTGCAAGTCTACATCTCTCACAGTGCCTGGTAAGAGCTGCTCTAGTTCACTTAGGCCTTGAGCTTAGGACTGTGATGGTTTATGCATCTGTAGTTGGGGATTCTTTTTCCAGACCAGACCCATGAAAGTGAACAAGTTTGGCAGAAGGGTGACAGTATTATAAAATCTGTTGCTCTTTCTGAATGTTGCTGTATAGAAGGTCCATGGTGCTAGCCTTATCCACAGTATCTCTATGGTAAATATCCAAAGGGAGTGCATTATTTGTACTACAGGTCACCTTTCTGGGTTCCTGTGTCCAGAAGTTTGTCAAATCTCTGCTTCAAATAAGGTGCATGTGGAGGGACTATTATGTGAAAACCAGACCCTTGGATTCTGGTTGACTGTACTTTCTACATGGAAGATATTGCTATAAAAAATTCTATAGGCTCTCTAGGAAGCTGTACAAAGCCTTGGGCTTGCTGGAAACCTGGAACTACAGGCCAGAATTTCCAAATCAGGAGGAGTAAAGTTTGGCATCTAGTATTAAATTTAGACAGGTGAAGCTTGATTTCAAAGACACAGTCATAATTTCCCAAGAAACTTGGTAAAGCTGAGTGCCTGACCTTTTATTGTGTATATGAAATGTTTCCTGTAACTAAAAAGAGCTTGTTTTTGTTGTTTTTCCCTGAAGATACTGAGCATCTGCAGTGCCCTCTGGCTGCACTTAGTTTGTAAATACTTGGTACTCAGTATAGCTTGAAAACCAGCTCATAATTTTCTTCTGAACTTCTTTACAGTTGTCAACATGACTTTGTAGTTATAAAATGGCAAAGTATGTGATGTTTCAGTCATGTGAGCTGGAAAAGCAGAGGGAGCACTTGGTTTTCAGCCCTCTTATACCTGGTCTTGCTGAGAACTTTCTGGCTTTTATCCTCCGCTGTTCTTCAGAAACCTTTCGTGTTGTGTCAAGCTCAGCAGTTGCAGGGAGCTTTGCTTATTAGAGCTTACATATTTTCCAGCTTTGAAAGTTGAACATTTAATATATGCAGTGTTTTCTTTCAGCTGTTTAAGCAGGGGGTTGTTCCTTTGTGTCCAGACCCTGGAGGAGAGATATAGTTTGGCTGGGACTTGTAAATGCCACATTGCTAAATGTTGAATACATAATTCTGGATTTGATTCTGAAGAAAGTCCCAAAGAGCAGGGCCAGTCTGTTAAATGACACAAATAGGATTATAAATGTGGGAGAGTGTTTTGGGATCAAGAAAGGTTCCAGCCTTCATGTTTTCCTTGGGCAGAATACTTTTGGAGGAATTTTATTGCTGTGGCACTCTCGAGATCCAGAGATCAAGACAGAACTTTTAACTCCTCTGTGACTCTCTGCACAAGTCTTCCATTAGCAGGAGTGGTCAAGTATTACTGTTACAATAGTACTGTATGTTTTAGTCTTATTAATTATGTCTGTTCTGGAAAAAAAAAAACAGTGGGAAGGCTAGTTTATACATTGGAAACCAATACTGTTCTGCTGCAGAATTTTGCTGCTGGAACAAAGGAGGGCTTAATTAGGTGTCTGGCTTCTGATAAAAAACCAGATGTTTTTCTTAGATGGAAGTACAATGTTTCTAACCTGGTGGTCTTTCTTGCAGACTGCAAGGACTCTCAAATGAAAAGAACCATCCCATGTATAAAGACAGGTAAATTTTTTTCTGTTTAAGTCATGTAGATGTGGGTGCCCTGATGAAGTATTTCTGACAGTTGAGGAACTTGGGAATATCTGTACTACTTCCAGGCAGTTTGTGGGAGCCCAGGATCCAAGGTAAAAGTCTGGATGATACAACTCTGCTTGTGAGCTTCAATCCATGGATGGAGTCAGCCCGATACCAAATTCATGTGGCCAGTTTCCTGAATGAGACAAAGTGTAAAAGGATCACACGTGATTTAACTGAGGTAATTACCTTTTAAAATTATATCCTCCATGGTATTTCAGACAAACATTTATTTCATGGTTGCTAAACAAGGACTTGGAGCCATGATGTAGGAACTGTTACAAATGCACTAGTACAGCAATTTTCAAGGAATTATTTTCACAGATTTTTAATTACCTTTGGAAAGGGGAACTTAATTTCAGGAATTTGGTGGATAAAAGATCAAAAAACAGTTTTATAATGCATGAAGCAGTCTGTAAACATCTTCAAAGAAAACTGAAATTTGGTATTTGACTTTCTGGGCTTTATTACCTTTGTCAAGCCAATGCCTGGGGACATGACTAAATAAATCAACCAAAATTTAGGTGCAAAGTTTCAAGAAATCATTCGAGTAGCTTATCAAATGTGATGAGGGGGATGTTAATTAAATTATTTAGATCAAGGAGGGGTGGTTTTGTGACATGTGTTTCAATCAGAGAATCAGCTCCTGTAGGTCTTATAGCCTGTGTCATTGAGGAACTCAACAGTAGATCCAGGGTGTCTTCTAACATAAGAAATGTTCCCCTTCAGACATATGAGGGAGGAGAAATGCTGAATATTTGGTTCCAGTCCCCATCCTTCCTTGGGGGAGGGGAGATAATCTTGGCGTTCATTTTACTTAATCTTTCCATTCCTTCCACACTTAAAACCCTTTTGAATGGTATGCACTAATGTGTATTGCTGTTACTGACACAGCTGGTACAGCTCTGTGTATATTTCCCTGGCAGAGGAAAATATATCTCATTTTGGAGCATGTATCTGCTAGCCATTGTTAAGAATATATTATTTTTAGATTGATTTAGATTTAGATTGTCACAGAATCACAGAATATTAGGGGTTGGAAGGGATCTCCAAAGATCATAGAGTCCAACCCCCCTGCCAGAGCAGGACCAAAAAAACACACATAACTAGGGCACATCAGTCAGAAAGGCATCCAGACAGGTCTTGAAAGTCTCCAGAGAAGGAGACCACAATCTCTCTGGGGAGCCTGCTTCAGTGCTCTGTAACCCTCACAGTAAATAAGTTCTTCCTCATGATGAGGTGGAACTTCCTGCACTTGAGTTTGAGTCCATTGCCCCTCATCCTATCACAGGGCACAAGTGAAAAGAGCTTGTCCCTGCCTTCTTGATGCCCAGCCCTCATGGATTTATAGACTAATTAAGATCCTCCCCAGTCTTCTCCTCTCTAGACTGAAAAGCCCCAGGTCTCTTAGCCTTTCCTCATAAAGCAGGTGTTCCAGTTCCTTAATAATCCTCCTAGCTTTCTGTTGGACTCTCTCAAATAGATCCCTGTCCCTTCTGAACTGGACACAATACTCCAAGTGAGGTCTTACCAGGGCCAAGTAGAGGGGGAGGAGAACCTGCCTCGACCTGCTGGAGACACTCCTCTTAATGCACCCCAAGATACCATTGGCCTTCTTGGCCACAAGGGCACATTGTTGTCCCATGGATAACTTGTTGTCTACCAGGACTCCAAGGTCCTTCTGCACAAAGCTACTCTCTAGCAGATCACCTCCTAACCTGTACTGATGCATTTTATTGTTCCTTCCCAGGTGCAGGACTCTGCACTTGCTCTTGTT